TAGTAGCGTCCTTGCTCCTAGTAGCGATGCCCCTTTGTTCCTTGTAGCTTCTTGTTACTAGTAGTAAGGCCAGGAGCTACGTTCGTAGCGTCCTTGCTCCTAGTAGCTCAGCTCAACGGATTTGTTGGAAAGCATCGGTGAATGGAAAAGGTCATAAACAGTCCAAAAGTTCGGTGGTGATTGAGCTGCTGATTAACAGGATCCAAAAACTTGGGAACAAACTGAAACAAACACACCACTTGAGAGAGGAGGGGGTGAACGAAAGGTAGCAGGCAATCACAAGTATCCCTGGTAGAAGTCCATGACGGCGTCAAAGGTGGATGGACGTGACCCAAACAGCGACGGCGCAGGGGGGATTTGATCCAGGGCCCTCCCGTCGAACAGAATCCAGTCTTACAGGACCAAACTCAATGCAAATCACCAAATCAGGTCCTGATTGTAATACATTTTTGCTAAAGCAAGGAGAACTCAGGTAGCTCAAGCTACCTTTCGTGCTTAAACACACACACACACAAGACGATTGACCTAGGACACTACAAGGTGGTGGCTGCTGGAGTTTGTACAATGATCGACAGTATCAACATATATTAACATTGGCATGGCCCATGGCTGAAAAGCTGCCACGATGCATCTCGCTGCCCACAACGAGCAAGATTCTCTCAAACCATGGAATCTTAACTCACATCCGCCTTGAAGTTGATCAGTCAGTGAATGATTTACAAGAAACACACAGCGCCACATATGCGCCGTGTTGTCCAAGCAAAACATCTGGAAAAGCAAAACATTGGACGTTCTCCAAGCCACAGCCCCAGTTGTCCCTTCGGCCGCGACGGGGTGCCCCCACATGAGAGGCGTCTCGCCGAGAAGGTTCCGAGGATCCACCTGGACCATCGATGCCAAACAGGTCTCATTCGATGTCATTGAGTGCAGTAACAAAAATAACAAACATGTTCCGGATAGTGGTCTAATATGGTCTATATATATAGCTAGTCTATATATATATATGGGTATCACTGTATCACCTTCTGTTAATCTTGTTCAGGATATTGCCAGGCTGTACAACTCACGAGTCATCCTGTTGTGTATCCAGAAAAACATAGAAAAACGCATAGAACCGGAAATTGCAATGATCAACACTGAAGAAAATGAAGGGGGACAAAAACTGCTCTACCAGCTTCTTGGGCTTTGGGCCAATTGAGGTAGCACGTCAACATGCAGGCCGCAAAAGACCTTGTTGGACTCAAATGACCTTAGGACCCTAAGATTGTTTCAAAGTTTAGTAGTAGGCTGGTGGGTTGAATTTTGGTTTATGTTTTTGAATAGGACACACCCACTTTGAATGTGGGTAATGGGCTGTCCATCTCAGGCTTCTATATGCTAAATGATGCTAAATGCTTCCATCATGGCGGTCAACGCAGTCGGCACCTGCGCCCGGCACTGCAAGAGCAAGGCCACCGTGGCGAAGACGCGGTCGTTGGGCGCCGTGAGAACCGAGATGTGCCTGAATCCACCAGGTCGACGCCGTTTGGTCCACCATCAAGGGATGGTTTTGTACCTGAAATTTGTCTCAGTGTCTGGCAGCAAAGTCATTCCATCTTCATCTTGCAAAGCCCATGCTGCAGATGTATCAGGTAAGGCCTCCCAACCAGGAAGGTCAACTATATACATGCACAGCAGCAACACTCAAACTCCGAAACGGCAGGTTGAGAAACGACCATGCACAACATCCACTTGGTGGGGCAGGATCATCGCTCGTACACAAAGGCTCTCAATCGTGCTTGAACATCCGAAGCTCAGCAACTCACTGGATTTGGGTTGTGATGACTGTCCTGGGTTGTGTGAATTTTAAGTCTTAGATTTCACAACCCACACAACCAATTGGTCTTAGATTTCTCTAGCCTTTCAGCAATTAATTTCAAGTCCAATACCTCGTTAAAGTGGTCCGATGTCTAACACGAGCACGGAAGATGCTGGAAGCTGACTGCAGACCGTTTCTTACCCCTGCATGATAGATATGTTATGATATGTTAGTTGCTGTTCACGACTTTTTTTCCCAATCATACTTTTGTCTAATACACCGCCCCCGTCTTTGGCAACACACCAAGACACCTTACACGGCTCCGCACCTTGAGAAGCTTCCGCACCGCCGGCGGCTCCGAGCGCCGCACGCAGCGCCACAGCTCCGCGAGCTCCGAGACGGGCGCAAGGCCCGCAGCGTCACCGTGCAAAACGGGGTGCACGGGCGACGTGACATGGTGATCCTGAACGGGATCGGAAAGGGTATGAAAGGATTCGGATATGAAAAGGGGTTTTGAAGGGTTGCTTTTCACTGGGTTCTCCTGCAATTGATCATCGACGCATTGGACATGGTGGTTGATCTTCTCGTCGACACTAGAGAAGATGGGAGCGGAGGAATGCGGTATATTACCTTCATCATGAAGCTACGACGATGCTCTCCCAACATGGAACCGGATGTCAATGAGGACCTCTACTAAAGACCAATATATATGGCTTTTCAATGCTTTTCACTCCTACAGGTTCGGGAGAGATGTCGAGATGGCTCTGCCCTTGGCCTCTTCAACCTCGGTCTTGGAGGGTGGCTCCGAGTCCTGGACATGAAGGGCCAACATAAAGCTCCAGTGCTTAAGTGAGTCGCGAAGCCTCTGAAAGATCCTCCAGAAATTCACGATATTCTGTTACAGGGCTATAACACTGGCCAAGGTCTTTTCTGCAAAGTCCTGCATGTGCCCATCTTCCCGAAGTGCTTCTGTCGGAGGTGTCGAGGCGTCCTGTCAGACGTGCTCCGTGCATTCTGGTGAACCGAGTCTTCGGAGCCGTGCGCCGTCCGCTGAGCCGCAGGACTCGGCGCCTGCGGACGTAAGAGGTTGGACAGCAAGGACTTCCTGCAGCGAGGACAGCCGGACAGCAGATATCTGTCGGAGACTGTGTCAGCTGCTTGGGAAGTGGATCTCTTCATCGGGACCACTCGCGAAGAACATCGAATCTAACAAAATGATGCTAAGCTTGCACAACAAGATGACCTTAGCAATGATGTTCACTTTCAACGTGCATGACACTTCGCACCTGACCTCCTCAGCCGCAACAACTACTGAGGACGAGACTTTTCTGGGTTTGCAACATCCAGAAAGTCAGCTGCTCGCATCCCACCACGCGTGGTCCTGGTGCTCATGTTCGGATCTCGCCGGGTGGAATTCTTCATGCATGTTACGCCAAACAAAACCTTCGAACAAGCCTTCCCCCGGCTTTGGCCTTTCGAGCACAATAGCACTCGGCCGTAATTAGTGGCAACAAACAAATGCCATTCAAGATTAAACATTGTAGGATGAGAGTCCTAGATTCATCAAGAACTCTCCACCCAAACTCTTTTTGCTTTTGTGCTGTGCTGCTTTGTCATCCTTCATCGCGTATCCGCCGAATGTCTTCCCCCAACATCTGCTCCCCAGAGACAGGGCAATGTCCAAATTCTTGCACATGAGGAACCAGGCATGTGTAGCAAAAGGCATACCCAGCACATGACATTGCTGGATTTTGCCGAATCCTGTGGCAAAGTGCACAAATCCTTGGGTCCTCGGGCAAGACCACCAATCGAAAGCGGGCTCCCTCTAAGCGACCCTCAGGGTAGGGGAAGCGCATCGGTGGCGGTGGTGGCGCCTTCTTGGGGCGGGTTGGTTGCAACAAGTGCTCTCGTTGATACCACCATTGCAGAAACTGCAGAACATACACAGTCCCCCAAAGAGCTGCCTGGCAGGCTCATGAGATGGTCTGACTACTGCGACTTTTTGAATCAACCAAAATGACAGAAAACGCCGAGAAAGCAATACTCACAGCCACATGCTATCCCCATAAAATGAATGTGACACGAAAACTCACAGCATTCCAGTTCTGATCTGTGTCCGGGTCTATCTCAAGACAGGAGACTCCAAAGACCCCTAACTACGTGATCCTAAGCATTTATACACATGAATTGAACATCACATTATACAAATCTACATGAGGGGAAAACACCAGAAAATGAAATAGTAGCTTGCGGGAGTTCTTGCCCAACTCGGACCTGTCCGCAAATCTTGAAGACGTCTTGGATGCGCATGCTGCTATCTTCTGACGGAGGATCTGGAAAGTGTCGTGCCAGCTTGAGATTCAGCGCTTGAAGCCAAGGTGACCAGATATCAGTCTGTTCGAACAAGTATAGCAATCGATAAGTGAGACTCACCAGGGATTCCAAAGCATGCACTGCAGGATACAAGCGATAGAACAGCAACTCCCTTGAACTTCTTGGCTGCGTTGACGCTTCCACTTGTCGAAATCGGTCTTTGCACTTTTTGGAAAGCCAAGGCAACACAACCACGACAAACAACGACGTCCATTGCTGTCTTCGAGTCAATGGTGGTGCTTGCGATCTTTCACGAGCTCGCTCAAAAGCTTCAAGCGGCAGCAATCGTGCACTGGCAGTTTCTTGTCTGCGCAAGCCGAAGAAATGTTCCGCAAAGGTTGCACCATGGACCCTCAAGTGATATCCTTCCAGTAGGAGCAAAAGCAGGCTGTAGATTGATTCCCATGAATCCAGAATCACTCGAAAAAATGTTGTTCTCTCCCTCCAAATGTCGACAATAAATCGTACCGCCGGCCGAAACACCTCGTTAAGCTGCTCCTGTGCGATGAGCTCGAAAAAGGTCGGCCTGAAAATATCCTTACCCGCATACACACTCGTGAGGAAGCCTTCATATGCGGCCATGAAGAAGCTCTCTTCTACACATCAACAGCTATCAACTGTTTATTACTTATGTTCCACCGACGACTCTTTGTCGACTCCGTCCATGGCCTAATAGGGTGAGACGATTTTTTCAAACAACAATCATAAACAACCATTGTATCCATCTGTCAAACGTTCATTTCAAAACATCTGACAAGTGGATTTGATTGATGAACTGATGAAGGTTCCGATGAAGTCACTTGCCCTGATTCTGTTCAATGATTTGGTGATCCAGTGATACTGTACATGATTGACCATGGTAAGCTGTAGGGTTGAGATTTAAGAATTGAGCCAACGGCTGCAAGGTGCCAAGTTGAAAGAACACACAACTCTCATATTCATACCATGACAAATGTCTTTGTTAGGAGTTTGAGTTTGAGTAGCAAGTCTATGGCCCGCAATGGTTTGAGTATTTTCATTGTACAGTGTACAGTAATCTGTAGAGTGATGTGACGTCTGTTGGGCAATTATGTTGTTTGGTTTTACTTCTTTTGGATACGCTGTTTGCTTGATATGTGTATGCCTTCATCTCTCTCTATATATATATATATCAAAAACAACACTGTATATATGTGTGCAAATTAAAATACGTCTTTATTCGAAACAACACTGTATATATGTGTGCAATTAAAAACTTCTTTACGAGGCTGCAGCATTACATTTGGAGCTGTACTTGAACATCACAGTAAACTGTCTTGTCCAGTGCGGATAGCATTGACATGTTCAGGCACCCTTTGGCTTGACGCTACTCCTATATTTCACGAGGTGACCCACATCAACAAACAAAAACGTTTGCTCAAGTGTTCGCGACAGCTCTTTATTTGGTCATTTCTCCCCCCTACAAATCCTTGGACATGTCTCTTCTGGGCCATGCTTCTCGCTGCTTGCTTCATTGTTGCTTGAAATTGCAAATGACAGCTGTGCTGCATCTCAAAGGGCAGTGATCCACAGCGTCCACTTCTCATCTGAGCACTCATGACCCAAAGAATCAACTCATTAGCTCACGCTTCTTCGAAGCTTCCCCTGCCCTCAAGCAGGGTAAGCTTGGAAGAAGCGTGAGCTATCCGTCCTGTTCCTAAGAGCTTCCTATTGCTAGTAATTACAATTCTACTAGTAACAAGTGCCTTACTAGTAGTAACAAGTGCCTTACTAGTAGTAACAAAAAGCTATTAAATAGCTTTTTGTTACTACTAGTAAGGCACTTGTTACTAGTAGCTTCCTACCCCCCCTAAGTGGGCGCCTACTCAATTGTATAAGGAGGTAGGACCACGGCGGCCACGGGCTTAAAACATGCTATTGTTTGGGTGCGCTGAAACCCACCCGGGACTCTCCACCGTCCCTGGATCGCTCCTGGCCACATCTGCACGAAACTCCAAAAGCAGCTGCACGGCCTCGACCGCGCTGCCGCACACGGCCTCCAGGGCGACCGTGGTGAAGCTGGTGAAGCGGACCGACCAGAGGAAGCAGGAAAATCCTGTCGATTTATGTAGCTTATAGCTTCCAGCAAATCAAGGAAGAATACCGAGATCTAACAAACGTAGGTTGGGTAGGAAGGTGCAGGCCTCCTTTTCGAGGGCCTTATGAAAGGAAGCTTTACCTTGGTTCTTTTCTTCTCTGTATTGATCCACTAGATCCTCGATAGCAGTATACCCAATTTGGGATTGGAAGTTGCAGTGCAAGTGTCGATACTCAATGACTTGACTTCTCCTATTGGAAGGAATCATCGTTTCGTTTTCCTTGCTCATGTAGCGCTTCCAAACTGTGGCATTTCTAGCCGCCTCCATGAGTGGAGTCTCATCCATGGGCTTGTCTGCAGCATTTGGATTTGCATTGGCTTCGAGCAGCACACGGACAGCTCCTGGCAACACAAGGCACTAGCAAAAACAAGGAATATCCAAAATGTGTCCAAAGAGCATGAATAATTAGCCTGGATCATCCCGGATAAGCTATGAAGTGAACTGAAGCTGACCAAGTAGCACCATGTGCGGGGGCATGGTGCATCTAGTAGAAGTTGAGAACTGCACAACAAATGCTGAGGACCCAACCCAAATCAACGGCATTCCCCTTTGCCTCATCGGCACAGAGAACTTGCATTTCTGCCAATCGCTGATTGCAGTCTTCGTGCACTCAGCAAGAACCGCTCGAATCTGATCTATCCATGTCCACCGGGGTGAACCTTCACGATTTGACATGGACGTTGGAACAACATGTTGCTGGGTTCTTTCACCTGTGAGTGGAAGCATCCTCCATGATCTATGCTCCTATTCCAATTCGAACGGGGAAACCCTTCTGGCCTCTGTCAAGGCAGCCCGCAATGTCAAGCTCAAGGCAGTTTCACCAATCTTGTTTGTGGAGTCAATGCCTGACAAGCATTTTTCCAGGGTGGTACGGAATTTACCATGTCGGGTGTAACATCCTGCAAAAGACAAAGGCAACATGTGCCAGCGTGGTCCCTTGTTCCTCTTAAGTACTGGGGGCATCCTGACTTTGGGGATACTTTATCAGACCATTCATAGCTTGAGGATGACTGGTTTACCAATTTCCTCAGCAGTCGACCCAAGTACAGGCAATGTCTAAAAGCTATCTCTGCCAAACACCAATTGCCAATGTGTGTTCTGAATCTCTTGATGTTTTATGGATATAGTCTGTATGGGTGATTGGTCCTAGATGTTTGTGTCCCAACCGACCCTCTTTGGGATTCCATTGGATTCTGATATATTCTGATATAATAAGGCACATATGGCACATGGCTTCCAATAGGTTCCGATGGTCTCCAACCTGAAACTGGCGGATTCGGCTGGTGCCAGCCAGGCCTCCTGCGCTGCTCATCCTTCTCTTCACCTGCTGTTGCCCAGCGTGAACGACAAAACTTCAAATGTACAAGGCCAGAATCAAATCCCAAATGGATTCAGGCTTTACTCAGTTGTGCAGTCTGTCTCACTGGAGCCATTGCATAGATCGACATCCTGTAGTGGGATTCCTTCATCCAATGGGCAAGTCGTTCTTCGAGCAGTTCCGAATCAGCACCTCTTTGGTCAAACGCCGCACAATGGCCTGGTAGGCATAGCGTTCACAACCATCGGCCGAAGTCTGGAGTTATTTTGGATCAGTGGGTTTCTTAGGACGCAGGGTCTTCAGTTCCAAATAGCACGCAATACACAGCCGGCCATACAGTAACATTCCGCCTTGGGCAAACATTGAAAAATGCATCCTACCATCGAATGTGTGAAGCGGAAACAGCCCCTGAACCCCAAAACCGATGGCCATGGTTTTTGTTTGATGCCAATGAGTTCGGATTTTGCATGGAGCTTTGCTTGATCCTCTCATCCTCGAGTCTTTGGAGTTCCCAGAAATCGTTTGTCCCCTGCCTCTCGCTTGGCTTTGGGCGGTAAAAGGTGTAACAAGGATTGCCTGGCTCCGATCACGGCTCGGGACCCAAACTGCACGGATGGCTGTGGTGATGGTCGGTTGCACAAAATAGATGAAAGAGTAGCTTGGGATGTATGTACAGAAGAGCAGGGAGCAAATGTGACTAGTAGTCCCCCAAATGGACTTCAACTACACCACCCTTCTGCAGAAAAAAAAGAGAAACATGTTGGCAAGTAGTGAAGCTTGATGCCAAGATAAAGGAACATTCATTGACATGTACTGCAAGTAAGCAATTGTATGCCTATTGTATATAAACCTGACGTGGTGCCAATGTGGGCTTGCATGTGTGAACAAAATAGAGTCACCTTCCAGCTTCGAATTTGACATTGACGCACTTTTTCTGCATCCTGATTCAGTCTAACGGCTACACCGCGAACACACAAATTGCAGTGGATGCACGCACATCCTTCTCTGAGACACGACTTCTGGTCTTTCTATTGTTTAATGTTTCAGGATTGCTAAAGCCATTTTGCTTGGCCTTGGGTGATGTGGTTGAAGTGACAGAAGGTATCTCATGATTGATGACGCCTGTGACAGTGAGACGAGACTTCCATCCTTCAGGAGGAAGGCAAAGGTGCGCAGCGAGACTTTCACAGCTCGCTGCAAGTCAGAAGCATCCAGAAAAAGTAGGTTTACTTGAGACTTTCTTCGGTACCCTGACAAAAAATAAGTAGCTTCCCTGATCTCTCTGCACACGTCAAAAGCTGAGACTTGTCATTGGTTCATACTCAGATAGAACCTGTGCGTTTTTTGTGCCAAGCTATAGTAGATATATGTTAAACAAATAAACAAAAAACATGTAGAAACATCGAGCTCATCACTAGCTTGACATGTTATAGCCGTTGTCATTCTCGTGTTGATTCATACGCTGTCATTATTGCTATGATGAATCATGATTGATTATTCATGATTGATTTATATGACACATGTTGTAACCCGTCCGTCTCTACCCCACCTCACCGCATGTTATGCAACCAACACACGACTATCAAGCCACTTCGCCAGTGGCTCATTTGATTTCCAGAAATGCTACGGGTCTTGATGGTGAGCCACTTGATCTGACATAGTATGTTGTAGGCCGATCGAAACTCCTTCACTTCTGTAAAATGCTCCTGAAAACTGCACCGGCACTGGGTGCAACACTTGCTTTGCGGTTCCCTCGTTCTTTTTGCACATTGCATCACAGGAAAGAAGCACATCTTTCATGCCGTCTGTGGGCACGTGTCCCCTTTCGCGTGCGCACGCGCATGAGGCCGCTAGCGCAATGTCAGCCACACGAGCGACTAGACGATCCGCAGGATCCGCAGGTAAAAGGCCCCCCAGTTCTCAGAGTGTCATGGATCTTCTTTGTGCTTTTGTTGTGTCGTAAGATGTCGTAAACGTCTAATATATAGTCTAATGGATCAGGAAGCACCTCGGATCGTCGTTTGACATGATAATCATCGTTCCTGTGGTGGGGTTTATATAATATCATATAATATCGGTTTCCAAGGTTTCTCTTCAAACCCTAGTTAAGCAGTTAAGCAGCATGCCTTTTACATGGATTTGAACACAAACTCAATCCACATCCACTTGGTCAATCCTATTTCATCCTATTTCTATCTACAGCCGTTGACATGAATCATAACGCTACTGTAAGTGATGTTAATTGATGTTAATTGGATATCTATGACATCATAGTTTTTTCATGTTGGGGGACCTCGCGAGTGTCATTACAGTGAGAATATGAGATGGTCGACTTGATGTTCCTCCAACATCCGGATCTCCATCATCTCAAAGAGCCTCGGAACCACGGACCCAACCGGCCGGACGGCCCCCGGTTCCACCACAGCTTGTCTACTCGAAAAGCAAACAAACTATCAAACCAACACAAAACACATCAAGACACACTCACACAATCTCACACATACAGGAGAACTTCTTTCAAGCGTTCTTCTGACCACCGTGATCCGTCAAAATTGCTAAACAACTCAACTCCAATGCCTGGACCTAGACTTGACCACTTGACCCTTCCTCAGCTCCCTCATACAAATCGGCAATCGGTGCGGTGCCTTTCAAAGGGATCGGTGTCATTCTCGAAGATCTGTAAAATCTCGTTGTTTGCCACGGCCTCCGAGGTCGCTTTCCAGCTGAGAAGGCCCAACAGACACAGTGAGCGAGGAAGAGAAAGGATGCGGAAAAAGCTCACTGATCTCCTTGCCTAAGAATGTGTTGGTTTCTGGGCGTCTCGCGCCGTACATGAGACAGCAGGTCCCTACCATCCGAATAAGTTTTCAAGAAGTCGTTGTTTTGTCCCGGATTCAGCAGTCCTACAACGAAAACACAACAGCAACATCTACAAAACATACAGTATAAAGTATTATATAAACTATGTAAAACCGTGTACTCCGTCTACTTCCTTTCCAAGCTAAGACACGCTTCCAAAGAACATGGCTTCAACTAATTATGCATCGTTCCATTCCAGCTGCCACAGCGTTAAACAGAATCAGTGTTTGTAGGGACTTAAGACATCTTAAGACCCCTGAACTGGGGCTTGGACGAAGTCACAGCAGAACCCCCTGTGTTGTTTGGACGCTTTGTTCAGACCACCGCGCTCGATCCACCTGGCGCTCTTGGAAGATCAATTGTTGATCCACCTGGCGCCACGCTCGATCCATGGGACCCGTCGGGCGACCGGTGGTGGCTGGTGGCCTGAGCACCGTTGAGCTCCAAGTAGCCTCTGGACTCACCGCTTTGCGTCTCCAAAATCCTGAGTACCTCGAACGAACTGGGTGAACATCGGGTCAGAAGAGGTTGGTTTGTGCAACATCAGAGAGGTTGGTTATGGTTGGTTTGTGTGCAGTTATAAAGTTATTTAAGGGCTGCCGCCCCTGCCGCCGACCCCCGGACCAGGAGTAAGGCACTCACACACACACAGCCCCAGTGCATCATCGGAGAACTTGCAGCCAAAGAGCTCAAATGATTGTAATGCAACACACACGATTGTCAGTTTTTCTAGTATGTAGTGGGCTTCCATCAATACGCATGATTCTCGTATATCATTACCATTGTCTTGTAACGTTCCTGTCGAGGCTACTCTCCGTGTTTTTCTGTTTCTACATTTTTTTCTCGAAGCGCGACATTGTTGCTATGTCGGATGACGATGATGACCTGGTGAAGATCATCGACCAGGCTGACAAAGAAGGGTAGCGAAAGGGGTGAGCTGTGAAAGACTGAACCCGCAGAGCTAGCCTTGTGAAGTTCATCCCTAAGGAGGTGAGCTGGCGAGTAAGGAGTTGGTTTCTTAAAGAAAGGGGGTCTGGAGTCCAAACCATGAATGAAGTAAATGTATAGTTTCTTTTGTTTTTATACTTTATAACTGAATATGAGTGAATATTATGCATTGATTGTATGCTTCTTGTCGGGTTGATAGTGCAGCCTTTCAGACTCCTCGTCAATTCCGTGTTCCGCAGTTTTCTGCAGGACTACTTCCCAGACAACTGTTTACAGCAACACATTGTGCTGGACGAGTTGGACATGGTCTCACATTGGACGGGGCGCTTTTTTGGTGCTTCAAACACGGCCGAAACGAGAACATGAACTGACGGACAGCATGAACAATCATCAAACCCTGGGAGCTCGGTCCTAGTAGTAAGGCCAGGAGCCCCTAGGAGCCCCTAGTAGCTTCTTGCTCCCAGTTTGTGTCCATTTGTCTCGGTCATCTTGGCCCCGAACACCTGGTCCCGCCACAGCTTTTCCCAATCTAATTCTGGTCCAAAACGAGCCTCCCATGGTCGCACTTTGGCTGCCTAACGCCGCCTCTGAATCCCTAGAAAAAAAAACTAGTACATTCTGGCCCATCCGTACCCTGTGAACCTGAGCACCGGCACA